CCCGCTCTGAACACGTCTACATGACAATATTCAGATATAGTGATAGCGCCACCTACTGGCAACAGGAAGTAAGCGCTGTGTGGCTATTCATAGCTGATTTACGTGAAATTTTCATGTTGTGGTCCGCACGTGTAGCGACGGCACGTGACGCGGCCGCAGCACGCCCCTACGCCAATATTAAGACTGATGCAGATTAGTTGTTTGATTGTTTAGCATGTTCCTTAGTTTTAGAATATGCAAAGTTCTACAAATATATACATTCACACCCAAGAGCTTTCCTTCCTACTGGGTGACTTTATTAGAGAGACCAACAACCTGAAGAGCTGGAGAAAAGGATGCACCGATCCAGTACACTTGAGCTTATCAAATGGATCAGACAAGACTGATCTGCCATCAGTATCCACAGTGTAATTTTATATTATCCTTTACAACACTTAAGGTACGAGCTGTGCTGAACACAAATCCATTGAATTTTTTCAGATTGGTTAAAATATGAAAACTATATTTTTGATCTTAGTGATTCTTGATACACACATTCTGGACTGTTACAATATAAATTCAGGAATAAAAATGATAAGCTGTTGCTTTTTCCATTGTACAAGACATTTATAATGTATTCCTATGGGATAAAGTAAGCAACCCCTAGTGACTAATTGCTAAATATAGTATGTTACAGGAATTACTTTACTCAAAAACTAAAACTATCAGTTTATCAGAAGAGTTATATCAAAGGCTACCAATGGATTCAGAACAACTTCAGTTTCAATTATATGTGCTTTGTAAATCTGATATTTAACATGTCAGATGAATGTTGTTTTTGTTAAAAGAAAATCAATTCGACTACCAATTAAGGCACGATAAATATGTGAAATCCACCAAAAATCTGTGAGGCTTTTACTTAACATACTGAATATAGACGTTAGTCATCAATAGGCTAAATCCTGTTTCTTAGTCAGAGTCATTAAAGTTGTTACTAATTTATAAAGCTTCTGGAACAATATAATTAAATTTGCACAAGCCTAAACAGATCGTTGGTGTAGGAACACCACTTACTGTTTTATTATGAAGTGATGTGCAGTCACATAAAGAACAATCAGTTCCAGAAAAACAATCACTTGTATCTGATTATGTCTCGGTAATCTGCAGAAACCATATTAAGTTCAGCTATCAGGAGAGAACAAATGGGATTGGTGGTGCATCTCTTGTAGCAGAGACAGGAAAAGAAGGTGGGAGGGAGAGAATGGTGAAATGAAGGATTGCAGGAGCACGGAGGAAGGAGAGGAACAAAGGAATGATATAACAGGTGGATGGAGAGGGAGTGAAGACATGGCGGAAAAAAAGTTGTATGAGCACGTGCACAGATGCTTGTAAGCGCGCGCACACATGCACACATTAGATAACAGGCTAGTTTCCGGTACACAAACACATTTCAGCCTCACCAAGCAAAAATTCAAAGACTTATTCCCATGTTACTTCACTACTCTGCATTGGACAATTTCCCCTGCTTTTCCTCTATCACAGTGATATAAGGTCATTAGATAATGATGATGAATACAGTGCACACACATGCTACCTCTAATAGCATGTCTGCGCTGAATAGTAATAGGATGAGACACAGTGGCATTTTGCTCCCATTTGTGTCTGCAGTTAAAGTGCTCCATAACTAATATTTTAGCCAATTAGAGGATATTATATGTCAATATGAGACAGTAAATAGATTGTGGCTATCATAGTATCATGATGGATTTGAAATGTTGAATTTTTAAAGGCTAGCTTACAGTAAAGTGCTGCTATTTCCTGATTGTATTGTGGCTGAGAGAATATCCATGTTACTAAGAATGGTTCCCTAAACATTTCTTGTCTGTAGATATCTTCCAATGACATCAATTATGTATGTGCACTCAGTCTTTTTTGATTTTATGTCCGTCTCTTTGTGTGTGTGCAGCCCGGAGAAGGCTCTGAAGGACTCTCTGCAGCCGTACGAGGCAGCCTACCTCTCCAAGTCCCTCTCTCGCCTGTTTGATCCCATCAACCTTGTGTTTCCCATGGGCGGCCGCAACCCGCCCTCCAACGATGAGCTGGACAGCATCATCAAGACTATCAGCAGGCAAGTAGAGCACATGCCAGTTTGGCTGCTATACAGCAAAGACCCCCTGGAAGGGATGAAATCAGTCAATGCTGCCTCTGCGGCTTCTTTCTGTTTCAGTGTGTTGACACATTTGAAGGCTTTGTCCTACGAGGCCTATCAGTTGCTCAAGTAGTTATAAAATAATAGACAGCCCTCTAAGCAACTTTTAAGGTCGGAAAATCTATGTCAGACAGGCCTAAAGGAACACAGAAAATAAACCATATAAAATCAAAGATTGCTGATCCTCGCTTTCTGACTGAAATTAAAACTTATTGAAAACTTGCCACGGCCAGGTGAGGCAAAACATTACTTTGGCACGGTGGATGTTCACCATAACAAGACTTTGTCACTTCTTTGGCAGACCACATTGACACTCTTAAAGCAGCTACAATCAATATTTTTATAACAATGTATTAAAGGACAATGTGAAATGTGTCTCTGGTTGTGAGGAACCTACAGAGAATTATCAGCCTAATCTGCAGCTTTCTTTACTGAGCTTTACTGTGCGTGTAAGCTCATTATTTAGCTGTGTGACCCACAACTTTACTTGTTTTCCGCTGCAGCTGTTTTCAAAGAAAAAAACTTACTATGGTACCTGCTTAGCAACAAACAGCAGACAGACACAGTTAGAGACTAGCTAGTAAACATAGTGGAGCATTTAGCAGCTAAAGAGCCAGATATTTCAATCAGGAGTTGGTGGAGACCAAAAACAGAGCTAAAAGAGAGTGAACATTGAACTTACAGGTGGAGATAAACCACTTGAAAGGAGATGGTATTTTGTTGCGTTCATAATATGTACTAGTTTGATAATTCGACCACATCTAAAGGTGAAACTGTTCATAGCTGTTGCAGAATGGCCACACTGTAAAGAGGGGTGAGATGCATTCAATTGAATAAATGTGGTTAACAGTACAAACTTCTGGAAAGTCTCCTTGAAAGCATTATATTTACTCTTGGTTGTATGCACAAAAGTGACAGCTTGAAAGAGAAATTTAAACCATGATCGCTTTCATACACTGTACTCCTGGACAATTGTAAAGTGGCAGTAATTGTCAGGCTGACAGTTTTGGAAAGTTAACAAAAATTGGTGGACACAGCAAACTCAAACTCCCTTTCTGACAGTTGAATCAGTGGGGGGCACTTATTCCACTGTCAGAAAGGGAGTTTGAGACGCTGCACGATTATCCGACAAGCACTTAGTCTGAAGTATACCAAGGCTTTTATTTGCAAGAACATCAACATTTGAAACTTTCAACCCCTTCCTTTTTCTTGCATCACTGGCCTATTTCATGCCTGTTCACGGGTTTTTCTTGGATGATAGAACTGAATAAACCTTATTTAATATAGCCATTGCTTTCCAGTGTATAAATCAGAATGAACTATTCCTTGATGATCTAACTGTTGTTGTCTGGGTGCTTTTATTTTAGTAGATGTATGTGCAGTAGTATTTAATAAGGTAGGGTTTTCATGGTTTTGCTGCCTAGGACCAGTAATAAACACTTGTGTAATGTCATTGGTTATACACAGCACGTGTGACACAGTTACTGCTACAGCTTCTGTTTCTCCTCATTGATCCAGTTTTATATTCTCAGTTAAAATGTCAACCATGGTTGAGTTAACTAATTTTATCTCACACTAAAATAGAAGCACTCACTAGCAAATGTCAAACCCAGATAATGACACAGTGCGGTATAGAGATACTTACGTCTATTCAAAACATAGTGTTGTTTCTTAGGAAAATGTTTTCTTCACTAATTACTACTTATTAATAACTATATTATAGTATCAGCAGTTAATTTTGATCTTTTTCATAGAGCTGTGCAGGAATGATGTATTCTTGTAGTCCAACCCAGAAGTTAGTTTCACCCTGGTTCCTACAACAGAAAGCCAAAAACTTGTTTTCCTTTGGATTAACAAGTTTTTGTTACTTACACGTTTTGTTCAGTAAGATAATTAAGACCACTGTTGCATGACTTCAACACTTTCAACATGTAATTAAATCTTTTAATTAAAATCTACAGGTTGTTAAGCTTGAGTAATTTGCAATTTGTATAAACACAACGAGTCTGTAAAGGCAGACTAGGGAGTAGATAGTAGAAGTCTCTGTGTTTTAATGTCACCGACACCCTCTGCTCCTTATATACTGTCGTATTTTATGTCATAGTACAAAACGTAAAAATCTTTTAAGCTTGAGTTAACCACAGACATTATTTTAGGCATCTGACCAAAAACAGATTGGCTCCAGGGAGATGGAACCGGACGTGCAAAAATGTTAGGCTAAAAGACATTACCAGTCTCTCCCTAACCCGCATATTTGGTACTCATATCTAAAGAACATATTAGATGAATCATTATTTATAAAAATATGTTGCACCCAAGCTACAGTTTAACTACAAACATACTGTATATCTGGATAATTAGCCAGGTTACATTATTTGAATGCAATGTAAAATCTGTCTTATTTATTTATTTGTGTATTTGTTTGCAGTGAGCTGAATGTAGCATCAGTAGATCCAAACCTGTCTCTGGCTGTGGCAAAGAATGCTGCCAAGACCGTCCAGCTCTTCTGTGTCAAGTCTGAACAGCTGGTGTGTACAGTGTCCTCTGTGTGTGTGTGTGTGTCTGTGTCTGAAATTCTGCATGTAAAGGATTACAGTTTAGAATGTTTAAATAGATCAATTTACAGTATAACAAAAACAACAGTGATTTATTACTCATTGTTCTATTGTGTCTGTCTATATACCATACACTGGCTCCCTGTGTGTCTCTCTATAGCTATACTTTTCAGTAAATCAGTAAATCGCACCTCCCTCTGTCTGCAGCTGTGTACTCAGGGTGATGCCAGTCAGGTGATCGGTCCATTAACGGAGGGTCAGAGGAGGAACGTTGCCGTGGTCAACTCCCTCTACCGTCTGCAGCAGGCCGTCGCCAAGGTAGGAGGCTACACTAAATACTTTCTGCTCAACAAATACACCTGCACATTTAGACCTGAAGTCAATAATGCAGTAATGTCACAGTACTGTACTTTGCCTAAAGAATAAAACATATAGCCATCTATAATCAGTCAGTCAGACTTTATTTATATACCACTTTTCATACAAGCAAAATGAAGCACAAAGCGCTTCACACATTAAAATAATACAATAATAATACACAATGTAAACTGAGTAATAAAAAGAAAAAAGACTAAAATGTATTAATCATTATGAAATAAAACTAAATAATAATAATAACAACAACAACAAATAAAAGCATTTACCTACAATGGTGTGGTCATTTTTATCAATAGGTCAAAAGATATTGCCATAATAATTCTATATTTCTAAAGGCACGTCACATTAAATTTGGTTGGTAAGTTTCTTTTACATAATGCTGATTACACAGAGCAACAATGTCATTTACATGCTTATGATCGTCCTAAAGATAAAACCTTGATCATAGCTAAATATACAAGATCCAGTAGCCTCCAGACAAACCTATACTGCCTTTACCAGTACAACACTACCATCTCTCCTACAGCTTCAAATTACCTTAATACCAGCATTTTGTTGCAAATTGTAGGACTTAAAGGGGAACTTGGCAACTCTAGCCATTTCTTCGCTGGTTTTCACTTTTGTCATCGCATGTTTTCTCAACGAGCTCCCCCTACAGCTCTGGG